GCTGCCTGCCGGCGTCGCGTTGGGGCCGAGGACACGCCCCCTGGGGTCCGGTTGGGGCTCTGTCCTCCGGCGCCCCTTTCCCCGTTATGGGAATGGCTTCTTGCAGTTAGTTGGGCTAGCAAAGTTAGCCTTTGAGTTGGGAGAGCACTGGCTCCTAACTTGGAGGGCTGTATGTGTGTGACCTTGGGAGGCCGGAAGCAAAGGTGACAGAGAGGGACTAGTTTCTGTCGTAGAGCCCCTGCATCGTCCTGGCTTCCCGTGGTGTTCTCCTAGCTTACCCTCCACCCCCCGGGCACCTGCTTTTTTTGCGTGCAAAGCTGCCCCACGGTCTGTTCTGGGGCTGAAGAGAGGCCTCTTAAGTGGGTGCACGTGCCCCAAAAGAGACTCACCAGATTGCCTGTACGGAGCCCTCTTTTCCCAAAGCCTCTCCCCTCCCCCTCTGCTTTCAGAGTAGATTAACTAATTACCTCCAATTAAAGCGCCTAGCTCTCTGTTCCTCCTGGGCTTCAACCCCGCCCCCGGGAGTCCTCCCAGGCTGGCTGGTAGGGGACCTGGCCACTTAGGTGGATCAGTGAATCGGTTAAGTGAGGCGGGGAGGGCACCACAAAAGGCAGCCGCGGTGTCATGTGCTTCATGGGGAGTGGTGCAGACAGCCTGGCCCTCTGGCTTTGCAGGCTGTGGAGTACAAGTCTGGCCCGGGCCGCAGGCCCTAATGGGCCTGTGAAGGTCAGGAATGGAGACGACCTCTGGAGGTAAGACCTGGCTGAAGGTTCTGAGGACCAGAGAAGCAACTGTCAGGGCATAACCAGAGGCCACCAGTCTTTGGGGACACTGGTGGCCTCCCTCCCTCAGCACTCCAAATGTCCCTCCTCTCTCTAACCTTGTTCCTCCCAACCTTTCTAAGTTCTCTTCTGCCCCACCCCTCTGTGGCCTCAGCACTAGCCCAGCCCAGTCCACCCCAGGCCCCGCCCTGACCCCACGTGTGGTACGTGAGGGGAAGGATACCTGGCATTGGAGGTAGGACGATGGCTTGTGACCCAAGTCTCACCTCTGGACAAGCTGGCCAGTCTTGGTCAGGCACGCTCATGCCAGGCTGTGACTCAGGGCCTAATTCTACTTTGAGTCCTGCCATCGCTGGGGTCTGGGCTTAGCGCTCTTGTGTGTGTGAAGTGCGAGAGACAGCTACTGCCAGTTGCACGCTTAAGTCTTGGGGTGCCCTCTCTTTAAGCTCCTGGGTTCAGGGTACCAGACCTGGCCTTCCAGCATGTTGTCCTGGTAGGAGGTGGCAGGGAAGGCCGTCTGGCAGGCACAAGGGTTTCAGGGACAGAGGGCAAGTGAGCCATTCAGGGCAGGGAGTGCCATTTCTGGGATGTCAAAAGCCCTGTTTGCTAGCTTACTTACCCCCCAGCCCCAAGTAAAGCTGGTCATGATTTTCCCACGTCTAGGGGCTCGTCTTAATGTATGCATGGGCTTTGATAGGGGAGCTTAAAGTCCTCACTTGTTTCTCTGCCCCTTGTCCCCTTCCCTAGATCTTCCTTGCGTACATGTGCAGGACTTTGTTCTTTCCCGCACTTTGCACTGGCCAGCAGAGGGCGCTGCCCAAGGACCGAGGCCACTAGGGAGATGGACGAGAATCCTTCCTTGTGTAGGGCGAGTAAGTCCAGTCTCTCTCTCTCTCTCTCTCTCTCTCTCTCTCTCTCTCTCTAGAGAGAGATGAATGGGCCCTGGGAAGTTTGCCTTTCTTTCTGGGGATCTAGACTTAACCTGTCAGTAGAGGGCTAGCAGTTAGACCACAGAATGAACCCAGGTGGCTTCGGGCAGGAAGAAGAACTTGAGGGGAGCCATCATCTCTTCTTTCTGCATCTTGAATGAGGAGGGTGCCCTGGAGGTGGCCGGCTTTCCTTCCCTGACCTTGGGAGAAGGGTTGGGAGGGGCTGCATAGAATAGCTGTGTCCCACCCTGTGGGAGGGACTGCTGTGGACATCTGGGCCACATCTGGAATCCTGGCAAGACAGCTCATGGGTTACAGGATCCAGCTCTTGGTGGTTGCTCACCATTACGTTCCCGGGGAGCCCTTTATAGACAGGTACACACCTGCTGCAAGGGTGCTCAGTTGTAACACCGTAACACCACCCAATTCCTGCCGACTCGGTCGTCCTGACGTTGCTGGGCAGCGGCAGGTTCCACCAGACCTTTCTGTGACTCTGCTTTTGGGAGCAGGGTGATGCTGGCCTTTTCCATGCGGAAAGGGGGCACCTATGTCCTGGGGTCCACCCTGCCTCCAGGTGGGTAGGAGGACGGAGGGCAGCGAGGCTGCAGCACCTCTCAGGGACTCTGCCTCATGGTAGGCCGAGTGGGGAAGGGTTACAGCTGGGTCGGTTCACACAAAAGCTTGACAACGTGATTGGGACCGAAAGCGAGGAAGGGACAGCAGGGGCCGTTCTTTCCTGAGTCTGGGGTTCTGGATTCTGGGAGGGGAACAACACCGGGGAGGGAGGGGAGCAACCCTCTGGATCCGCTGCCTTCCAGGAATCCCCGGAAGGGAGCAGGAGGATGGCCGGAATGGTCTCGCTCGCAGAAAGGAGCTGGCGGGGGAGGGGGAC